TGTCTGTCTAACATCACATAGTTTTCACTTTAAACTCAACACCCATTTACCATAACCGGAACCCTACTCTCATAGAGGGGTTTGCCCTTTTGATATGGTGATTAAATTACTATCAAGTCCGTGATATTTCGACCGTCTGCAGGATTTGGGTCCCCATTTTTTATTTGGATCATTAAAGAGGGTCTTTGTCCTGACGTCAGGCTTTAAATTGACTACTCTCCTGTAGTTGGTCGTAGTTGTAAGCTAGTTCAGTTGCTCAAAGTTTGTAGAATAATTTGCATCCACTTACGATAAATAATTTGGGGTTTTGTAAGTTTTAACTGTATTTAAACATAAAAAGTCATCGATAAATTAAAGTATAGATGTTGTTAAATTTCACTTCGTACATTTTGGCTGTTATAAAATACGGTTTGAACTATTATTGCCTTAAAAGGGTTTTGTTTTTATAAACGCTAGGTAGCTAAGTGACTCCAGTAAGAACGGCGCTGGTTCAAGCACGAGATAAGCTAGAAGCTATTTGATGGTTTGTAACTGTACCTCAATAAATGGGCGTTTTTAATGGTCGTGGCTTAAGGAACAGCTTATCTTTATTAGTAATAAAACTACGCAGATCAGCTACTTCATTCTACTTCACTTACCTTTCATTCATACGCAGCCCCCTCTAACACAAGGCTCCGGCGAGATAAAAGTGGCAACACCGCAACCTAGGCCTAGTGAAAAAGCTGTTTCGTTATATCATTATGGGGCGTCTGCGCGATGTTTATGTTTCACGTTTGTCATTACCATGGCAATAGGCCGCCGGTGCGACGTTGCCACGCCGCGTACACAAAGAACGTCGCTGTCAAATGGCTTTTGAAGTGATTGAGTTTTTCAACTTATTTGATAATTTATACCTTTTTCTGAATCAATTTGATTAACCCTTTTGTACTTGATTAAGCTCGTTCAAAATCACATTCAAAATCCGTATACAATTTTCTCACAAAGTGTGTTAACAAGATTAAACTACTCATTAAAAATCGGAACGATCAATTATTGAAATATTAAGCGCCAAAGGACTCTTAATACAATCAACCAAGTGAACACATTGCTTTGATTCAAAGACCCGGCAGTTTAAACTCCATTCAAATGATGCGGGTGTCTGATTAATCTGTTGCTGCAAGCTCTGAGATAGAAACTGACACTAAAGGATATGGTAATATAATATTTAACGATTTTTAACTGTCCACCGGGGTTGTTTAGTGTTTAGTGTTTATGCCTGCTTACGCAACAGTTGTACAGGTAAGTCTGGCAGACAGCCCACGCTGTATATGGTAGTGACTTCTCGTGCACTTTCCAATCCAACCGATTTTACCCACTGTGCACCGAGTGCAATGCTTTGTTGCGAAATTGTCAATATTTTTTGAGAAAGGTGAACAAATATTTTTTCTGTGGATGTTTTTAACGAATTTTTCAAATTGGGAATAAACTATTACGGTAGATTTAATGGAAAAACTTACCACTGGTACAAAACTTATTAAGTTTTGATGTACTCAGAGACCAAAAAACGCAATTTTCAAATTAATATATAGATTTGCTTAGTCTACAGGTTTGCAGCGGAGGTATTTTAAGTTTCAAATGTATTTGTTTAAATGAAAGTTCACTTAAAGTGTGGTTCGTCACGAAATACAATAAGATCCTTGCTATATTTGATAGATGTATAGAATTGAGTTTGCAGATTTTAAACGATTTTAAAGACAATAGAGTTGCCTACTCGAAGCAGTTTAAGTAGATTTCTCACTTAGCAATTTCAATGTATTATAATTTTTACAAAAGATTAGAACTAAGTGTAGGTACGTTTTACAACTCTGGCATACTAAAAAGTACATAAAGACACGTCTAACAACACATGTAACATATGTCTACACTTATAATGTGGACTCAGAAGACCATACATATAATAGATGGTAAGACACCTATTGGGTCTGATAATGATTGGAGTTATCAAAATCTGTCACCACTTACATCGTTTATATGTATTTATATCTTGTGAGTCAACCTAATAAGTGTTATGTTATACAAGTATTTTATGTATTAAGTTACAAGTGTTAATAAACGCATTTTATGCACTTTCAGTAAATTTAATAACACGTACGATGATTATCAAGAATGTATTTGAAATGGTTATAATGTGTATTTTATATTAAGATTTTTATAAAAAGCAAAATATGGACCCCCTGCCATGCTAGGTCCAAAGTGGTAAGCAATTGAAGCGTTAAGCAGGTCAACCAGGAAAAGCAGTTAGATACTCACTATATTTTTGCTCTATAGCTTTAGAGTCTTATGTCTTAAAATCTTCTTAAAGTTTGATGAGCAAACTTCAAACTTTAAAAACGTAAAAGTTCAAACATTTTTTTGTTATAATTTCTACCGGTTTACAACAATTACACATAAGAAGCGCACAAGTGCATTGACAAACAGTATTTATTCGCCGAGTACGTAGGTCTGCTGCACGTGGGTATTGTATGTGCTCAAGCTCACATATCAATTTGTTCACTGTCCAGGTGTTAAGGGTGTTATTACACGCCTACCCCCAGTAGATGCTAATGTCGTGCAGTGATTGTCTATTGTTGTTTTATTGTTGTTATTGTTCCTCGACGGTCCACCGTCATTATTGACAATTGATGTTGTGTGATCCACGATGAGTACTGAGTGTGTACCATCGATCTCTAAGAGATCGATGGTGTGTACTGGAGATTCTTTACTGTAGATGGGATTCTTATTGAAAGTTCTAGAGTAGTATTTTGGGGACAGTAAAATGTTGATTTATTTTGGATAGAAATTCTCCCTTCCTTATAAAATCTATATAAAATCCTTCTACGTTTGTACGTTCTGTAGAGTTAGTGTTTCAATGCATAAAAAAATGCCCATATAAATCCCAATAAGCCTGGGATTTTAATCCCATCCCATAGAAATCCTACCACCCCAAACTTGGATTTCAGTTGGAAATCGCGAAATGATGATGTTCAGACTTAGTTTAGTTTAGGACTTAGTTTAGCTACTTAGCTTAGGAAATATAACTTCAAAGTATAAGCCACGACGGTAAAAGACCCTACTTAAAAGGAACTACCAAACTCGGGTGTTTTGAAACATTGAGCTCCCACAAAAATAAATAATTCACTGTATTTCCCTCTAATTAGTAGTCACAATTATATTTACCAGAATTTTAATTTGTGCCGCGTCGCAGGGAATTTCAACATTTCTCGGTTGGCACTCCTGCAGGGTAGCAGGTAGTTGTGGGATGGCGAGGGGTAGATTATTGTTCTGGCGCGAGAAGTTTCCTCCCGCCACTACCCCTCTACCCATTTTCTCTATATCTTCCCTAAATGATCTGACAACACTGTGCGGGATTCCCGAATCTGGACACATTCCAACTGATTTCATCCCTAGCTTCTTTACACCTGCTGAACTTCCTCTGTGTTTTCTCTTAATTTTGTTTCCGTTTACATTTTTATAATAAAAAATCTGAATTTAACACATTTTATTCTATCATTGTATTCATAGTACAATATAATGTAGGCTAACTCTTGATCAAATTTATGATGGTTCGAGGACAAAAAATGTTTGTTGATTTTATGAACAAGAAATTGTGAGGGAGTTATTTGTTTGTTCGATACATTGTTCCTTGAAAGAAAGAAAAAAAAATTAGGACTTTTGGAAGTAGGATGGAACACTTATCTTATAACGAAGAATTTTGTATAGAATCTACAGCTCATTGTTTAAAGTCGAAGAACGATTATTACAAAGTACTGTAAATTTTGCTATTGCTATATTACTCGAACTTTCCCCCGATAACATTACTATTATATACTTAATACACCGGCACAGCGGTATTGTGTATTAGAAAATTTGACTCAAAATTGAAATTTGTTTGAAATAATATTTATATATTTTGCCGTTGCATGCTAGGTATACTGTAGTGTTTGTCTGGTACGACAACCTGTCTCCTGGTCCTACGTGTACCAGGGGACTGGCCAGTGGGGGCCTTCGGCTGTTAGGTTCCATCATAGATTAAAATTTAATTAATATTTAATTTAATATTCAACCATTATACGGACTATAGACCAGTGTGCAAACCCAAACGAAACTCCACGTATCCAGGGGTAACTACCGGAGGCGTTCTCTACCAATGTTCTACAAGTTCTGTAGTTTCTTGTACAATTCGCTTTGCTTGATTATATTCGCTTTCACTGGTCTAGCGTGGAGAATTACCTAGGTGTGAACCTGTAATGAAAAAAATGTAGACATTGCGGACGAAGCGGGAGAACGGAGCCTTAACTTAATGTGTTATTGTATAAAAATAGGCGTGATTCCTCTCGTATTTCAGAAGCTGCAACTCATTTGAGTTAGTTTGTCCTCTGTTCTTTTGCGTTGAATATTTAAAAATTGTCGTCAAATTAGCATTCCGTATTTCTTGGATATGTACTCTTTTGTACAATATGTTCGCTTATCCTATCAAATGGGGATTATCAAATAAGTCTTCTTATCAAATCGTATTTCTTTTCAATTAGCTTTCTTACTGAGGTTTGTACAGTAACAAGTGACACACGTAAATACTAAGTACATGTAATTGAGAGTAATGTAAAATTAAGGGTACTGTATTTGACAATCACTCTTGTCATAAAGGGCCATTTGTTATTGAGGGTCGTGTCATCGAGGTTCCTCTATAGGTAGAATAGAAATCGATAAAAACTAAAGAATAAATCCAACACGTATAAATACAATTACAAGCCAATTACGGTGTGTTCCTCTATAAGTATATTAGTACAAAAACTAGTCTTTGCCAACGCCACTGTAATCGATGCTTCTTCTGAGCTCTGACATGTCATTTAATATAATCTTTATGTCTGGCGACAGATCGTACTGGCTTTGAGGTTATGTCCGTTCGATAACGGAGGCAGTGGCAGTGCCAGTCAGCCAATGCCTTCGCTTCAGTGGCGCGTCGTCGGTCGACCAGTGAACAACGATCTAGTGAGCCGTGGATACAACAATGACATAACCTCAATTCGACATCTGTTGTGTTTTATCGATCTCGTTCGTTGTAGCTTTGTTTATTTTAATCGATTCGCGAAATGTGTGACGTATTAGTGTGAACCGAAGCAACGTGTTGGTTTTGTAGTTTGTTGTGTGGTTTCTTGGAGTGACAGGTGGTAAAAGGTTTGTTTACATTGAGTTTGTTTACCATTGTTGTTGCGAGATTGGGTTTATTGGCAAACGGTAATATTGATTTAAATCATAACAAATACCTAGTTCAAAAACACTTACAATTTTATGTATGATATACGGTTTTCTTTAAGGTACACTGCAATATATTAATTAGTAATGTTTAATAATACTTCGTACTATTTGTTTTTTAATGAAATTTATTTCGAAACGGGAAAGTGATTGGAATTGTTAAAAACCTTGCCAATCAAGTTAACTTAGGAATTTTAGCTTAATCTACAGATTGTTACATATTATAAAAAATCACCAAATTATTAAAGAAGCAGGGAAATTGCTAGGGGAAAATTGAAATTATTTTACTGTCTCATTCAAACATGTATTGTACGGAATAGTAACGATTGAAATTTAATTCAACATTTTGAATGTGTTCCTTTGGGGATTTCCAGAATATACAGGGTAGCTAAATAATGCACTGTTTAAATGTTTTGCTGTTGTTTGGCAAAATAGCCAAAATTAGGTTTATCAATAGACGGCTGTTCGAGAATATTTTAAATAGGATCCGATACATAGCAGTCTTATTTTTAAAAAGGTCTTTTAAACAATGTTTGAAGCAATATAATTTTGACAACCGAGTTTTAACTACATTAATTATGTGACGAAATACCTCTTCGATTTTTAATTTTTTTAAACCTCCCTCGAAAGTTATTATCATCGATTCTTCAAAATATTTATCGGTAAAATGTTCATAGTTTCAAAATGATAACCACATGGATGTAATTTAGGATCATGCCCAAACCAGATCAATTTGGAAGACAAACACCCAGGCCCCCTCTGACATTTTGGAAATCAAACAAACAAAATGTTGTTTGTTTATCTGTGTTACCAGCTGTCGCACGTTTAAGGTACCCATGTAGACAACATCTGTTGGAGCTGGACGCTTACGTAGGGAGACGTAATGGTAATATTACATTACTGATATTTTAACATGGCAAACGCGGTAAAACAGTATTCATCCCAATTATAATCGATATCGATAAAACATTAAATTGTTGGACATCTTTTAGTCATAATTTTTACATTCTTGTACTTTTGGTGAGATTGAGTTTTGTCAGTAATTTCTTCAGTGTGCACTGAAATACTGTTGCATTCTTTTGATTTAAAAAGTCGTCCAACAATTTTACCTATATGCAATTTGAAACTTTGTTAAGTTTTGATTTTAAGTAAATGAAGGACAAAAGACTTGAGTAATTTTAATAGTTAATTATATTTTGCACAATTGAATAATACTGAACTATTCAATGTTTAGCAGCAAATTATTTGTTTGAAATAAAATACGAGTGGTTTAATAGCTATTTACATTACAAGTGTAGTAAGAGCGTTTTTACATCACGCAGGTGAAAGTTGTGCAACGAGCGAAGCGAGTTGCATAATTTACCTAAGTGATGTAAACACGCTCTTGCGTAACGTGTAACGTACAAGATTTTACCTGACCCGACAATATACAGGAGGTTACGAACAATATTTTTCATTATCCATTTCACTCATCTTCTAACAGTAACGTTCAGTTACAAACAAAAGCTAGGTTAGGAAAATTTTTCAAAATATAACAATAAAATTCAAGCACACAGCTGATTTCTAGCGTTAAACGTCGTTGGCTCCATAGAGTTATATTTTTTTAGTTATCCACTCAATGTTATTTAAATGGGTTTCATTACATCACCGAGTGAGTTTTTTGATATTTTACATCACTCGAGAAGTAAGGAAGTTGTATACATCACGCTTGGGATAGGGAAGTTTAACATGGCGGGTTAGGTAAAACTATTAATTCTATTTAAACGTGACCTAAAGTATGAGTAAATGTTTTAAATTTGTACTTAAGATGGATATATTAATTCTGTTTGATTCATAAAATTTATAGATACTATTTCTCATGTAATTTAAGACCCAGAGTAGATACCATCTTTATGCCTCAAAGACTGTTGGTATTAATTGGGGAAAATAAGATATTAAAAGTTAATCATGTTGAGGTTTAACAAGTTTTTACGATAAATATTTCAAAAGAAAAGAAAACATCGAATATATTTTTTACGTCTATACAAATAAATTTAAAACTAGGAAACGGCAAGGAAACCACAAGAAAAGTCACCTAAATTATCCTTCCCTGTTCGTGTCTCAGTTATCAATATTATCGTGTTTCAACAGCTGTTAAAGAACAGCTGACTAACAATGTAATTCTAGAACACCCCAACTTCGTGCCTACAGTACACACATGCTGTGAGCTTTATGGGCTTTTTACCCCCTCCCCCACCACCCTAATCATCCCTTTCTTGGAACGAAGGTTAAATGTCGACGGCCTTTCGAAGTGAACGACAAGGAAAACATTTTGTTAATACAATAATTTTGAAAACTGCTCGTGAATTATTTAGCGTGTTTCTGAATAAGGGTTGGATTAGTGTAAAAATAATTTAAAACATTTGACTTATGCGAACAAATAATATATTATACCAAAGTTTGTATTAAATGTTTCAAACGTGCTTACCTTTTGTATTCATCATTATTTTATAAAACCGTTTAATAAGTCGTTTAATTTATTTTCACATAATTATACTACAGTATCTCTAAGTGTTATGCTTAAATAATGTGCTTTGTTCACTTACTTAAAACAATATTTTCTAGTCAATTATTTCTATACGGATGAATTCTTTCGTCTCCTACAAAGATCTTGTTATATAGCTTTGCTGTAATTGGATACCTTACCTACCCTGGTATTTATCCGTACACTTTTCCTTCTTCATCATAATCCGCGGAAGTCCTGATTTTCATTTTGAACTACTTATAGAATAAATGAAATCGAAAAGTATTTCTAACCTTTATTTGTTTCTTCATTGACTTTAAACCAATTCGACTTTAACTTCACGTGCGTTTTCTCTATATATGAAAAACACATGTTATGCCTAAGCACACTTAACACAATCATAACCATTTAAACTAAATCTGGATAGTCTTACAACCCATGGGGACCTAATCATCCTTGCTGGGGAAGTAAGGACGGTCACGTGTTTTAGCACGGGCTGGTGTCAGGGGGAGGGGCGGCTCGTGTCATATGGTTATTTATTTTTTTCTGGAGGAGGGTGGGTAACCCTTCTTGGCGGTGTCGTGTTAAAGGAACGGGTGCTATACTCCAGCTATCTCAACTACTGTATGAGATTCTTGTAGAATAATACGTTATTAATTATTATTGGATGATTGCCTTCTAATTGGTCGTTGCAATTTAACATTGGTTGATTATTCTGATTTTTTCACTCTCTCTTTTGACAACCAACCATGCGTGTAAGCTTTTTTTGTTAACTAAGTAGTGTTTTTGGATCTCGGAATCGTTTGATTGAAATTCAGAATTGCTCTAGTACATATAATTTTATTTTGCCAAAATTATCTGACCACCCTGTATCAGATACACTCATTTGTTACTTATGACCATTAAAAAATAAGGAACATATTTCATGATAGATTTGAAAGGCACACGATTTAATCACTGGTATACCTAATACAGATACACTAGCCCAATAACCCAATTCCTATAGTTATTTTGATCCCACGTTGGGCGCCATTCTATTATCTCAACAACTCTTGTGGAAGAGCTGTGTTGACTAATTGTTTGCACAAGGGACAAGTATTACATTTTTCTATATAAACATCAATGAAACATACTGCAAAAAACAGTGTCCGCACAATGTCGAGGGAATGCGCCGATTCTCCTTGTCTTTGTAGTATTTACCATGGAAAAAACTAAACAAACGTTACTTCTATCACGGCTGTATTCACATTGAAATGGCATGTTTGTTGTTACAGTAAAGTCCAGAATAGTCAGACGAGTGCAATAAGTGCCCTTGTACATTGTTGAAGTTGATTGTTAGCGTCTTCGTTGTGGCGGAGTTGTTGTGGACTCAATTAGTCACTTAATTAACAAGCGGTCCCACGACTTGACGTTGTGTGAATACTGTACGTTCCCTGTTTGTATGGAATCAAGCTGGAACAGATCAAAGCTATAGAGTGTACCATAGTGTCATATTTCAGATACAAATAAAAATAAGTCAGCAACTGTGTGCAATAATATTGTTGGAAGACATATTCCATTCTGAAGATGTTTAAACTCGAATTAAGATTATAGCGTTCCAGACTTTCAGTTTTAAATTTATTTTCTGACATTGTATTTTAAATCGTGTTTTACCCTAAAGCACGACGGGGGAGGTTTAATTTGATAGGAAGAACGAGGGCGCGAAATTAGTTTGTTTCAGGAAGGTTGAATTAGGATTGGGGAAAAGTAGCCGGGGACACAGGTTTGATGTTTTGATAAACTTGGAATTCGCAAATCAATATTGTTCAATGGAATTACATTGTTTTATTAAAAATAGATGCTCTTATAAAACTATCCCATTCGGCGAAATAACAAACTAAAAGGACTAGGATTGTTCTTACAGATTTACACTATGTCGTAGCTTTGTTTTTGAACGAGACAACCGTTAAATTACTGCTGTCGATTTTTTATTACTGGTGTTGGTTGTAGAGTTCATTCAAGGGGACAATTCCAAATTCCGATAAATTAAATATGAGGTAAAATTGCATAACCCCTAACATTATCTCAAATAGTATCCAAACACTATTCAAGTAATTGTAAACCCACTTGCAACAACACCAATCCAAGAAACCACCCACATTGTTTTCTTACAGCGATTTTGAAATGGCCACAACCTGTTTTGGGCCTCCGCCACTTCCGCCTTCCAACAAGAAGAAGGTGGTTGCGACCATAGAGCCATCGCCGAGCAAAAAGTCCTCCAAGAAAGAGAAGAAAGTGGCCAGCGTAGAACCCCTGATGTCTTCCACCTACAGGTCCTTCCGAGACCCGGTGGAAGAGGACGAGATAATAGTGTTGTCCTCGGAGGACATGGAGGTGAAGCCGATCCAGGAGAAGAAGGATAAGAAGAAGTACAACACGAATTCTTTGACGAGACCGTTGAGCGCGAGCAAGTTGACGTTGAGCAGAAGTCACTCTGAGGGGAATTTGACGATTGTGGGTGAAGAAGTGCCTTTGGACCTTTCTCTGCCGCCGCTGGGCTCCGGAGCGCTCAACAAGTGCCTTAGAGTCCTCAGCGGCTCTTGGAAGAACCTTTTTCAATGTAAGTGTGTTGTATGATTGGTTTATCATAGTAATTAACGAAAAATGTGCAGCTTGTGTGGTATAGTTGTGGCTTTCTGTACAAAAGATGACGATTGTACTAGAGTGACTATAATAATCTTTCCAGATAATATACTGTCCTTTTTCTGCTCTCATGAACAAAAGAGAGCTGGCTTGCTTTTTCTGGTCTCATGTTGTTTGTAAGGTCTTGAAGTGCTAGCGAAGAATACTGTAGTTGAATCTTTATGTGAACGATAACGTTGCATCTATGTCTTTTTTTAGTACAATACGATCTGAGAATGGGTTCTAGTGCCACAGAATTCTGATTTCATGATTTGCAGCTTATAATCTCTTGAGAGTTTTGCAAACCTAATGTGGTTTTCAGTAATAGTTTATACGTTGAACACTACAATGACTTTTCATTCAAGGTTTGTTCAAATGAGTACCTTCTCAACTCTTGCCAACGGTTATTCTTTTCTACGTTGGCGCACCAGAAGCAGGTTCGGTGCGGTCTGTCCGTTCACATCCATTTGTATTCCGCGAAACGCCTCAGACCGGACAAACTGGCATTGTTTAGGTTCACAGAGTCCCGCTCGATTTGTTCGATGCGATTGAAACTGCAGCTTTGCAGTCGAGAGTTTCAGGTTTAGAAAGCAGTTGCACTCGCCCCAGGAGTGTTCAACTATGCAGCGAGGAAGGTCGACGCAAATCTCTTTGTTCAGTTAATTTAGTTCTAATAGTGATATGTTGTATATCATTGATACATTGTTGTTTGATGAGTTCTTACTTTTTCTCCTGGTGGACTGAAACTTCAAGATCCGGAGGATCTTCGCAGGAGGAATCTCTTTGATTTTGAAATTCTTTTAAATCTCATCCCATAGATATTACAAAGTCGGCATACATTTCTGATTCGTCCTTTATACAGTGATAATTGCTAGTATCTATATATGACCTTAAGTGAGAATACGATTTAATATTTCATATTAGTCATGTAGATGCTTGTATAAGGCTCCACCCTGATGCGCCAATTAACTTCAACAATATTAGTATACACATTTAAATTACATCTGAATCATCGCACTTTTTTTAGTAATTTTCCATTCATACTTTTGTTTGTAGAATTCACACATTTTCTCCCCCTCTTCTAATTCCTGTGTATTCCTTTGAGGCATCTTAAATTAGGAAGGCTCCAGACATCTTTGGTCCTGTTGAAAGTTCAATTATCTTCAAAGTGTTCAAAATAGTTTCTTTCAACAGAACAGTATTGCTACTGCGAAATTCCACCATGTGGCGTCTACGCGATCCTCAGCTAGTTATCGTTGTTGCGACCCTTGTCCGTTGTCCGTCTACAGTGAAAGCAGGCGCCAGTGGAGATTTACTGCTTCGTCTCCCTCACTCTCACATACAAGACATCACTACTAGACAGTGACGAGTCGACGACTAGCTGTAAATCTATAGAGACACTTGGAGGGAAGCAAGGGGCTTTGCTAGGTCCCATCATGTTTGGCGGAGTGAAGGGGTGCAAAACAAGGTGGGGTGAAAGGTGGGCAAATGTTGATTGTAAATTTGTGCCAATAATCAAACTATGGTTCGAAATGAGGTTTCTTCACACGGTTCATTAAGGTTAAACGTATGTATTACCTCGTTTGACACCTAGAGGCATCGGTCCACCCCTTGACTATTTAAACACATTGTAAATTCATTGGTACAACCTAATGGCCTAAACCACTGAGTTCTGGCGTTGTGTCAAACATAAAAGTCTTTGGTGACTGGCAGGATTAGAGTGTATTCAAATTGACGCTTCTGGCATTTCATTAAACTAATTTTTCTTTTCTTGGGTGAAAATTATTATTCAATGTGGCAAATAAAATTAAGAATGGGTAAAAACAAAAGGCTTTCAATGGCTTGAACACGTTTATCATGGATTTTACAGTCCAAAATAAAAATGAAACATATAGCCTACAATGGAATTAAAATTGATTATCATTTGCATACATACTAGGTAGTAGGTCTATTATAGTTTTTCAGTATCCGCCGCATTTTCCTTAATCGTGACGACCTTTTCAGGGATAAAGTAAACTCAATAAAGCCCGTAAATTTTTTTGTATTAAAATTTTGGGGCAAAGTAAGAAAGTCAAAGATGAAAATTTCACCACCAGTATGATCTTTTCTAGGACGCTCTAAATCTAATTATTTATTACTTTTTCAAACGTTTATTGAAACATCGGCTTCAAATTCACAGATCGTTTCTAACCGAACCCTCTAATGGCTTCTGACGATAAAGACTTTTAAGGCTGGATTGACTTTAAACCTCCCCTCATTTGAGCCATTGATACTCGGCTATCTAACCTCGCACAGCCGCAATCAAAACTCACAATTTATCTGGATTTCGAGAAATTCGCACCCGCTCGCTAGATCCGGCTTCTCTATTGAAAGAAGAGCAAGGGACGATTAATTAGGGGAGGTTTTAGGGGCTCCAACGCCACATTTCGGGCCATTTCCAGAGGGGTGGACAGCTTTACAATAGCCTCATGATAAAGTGCTGTTGAACACTGGGGGTGGAATTACGTTGTAAAGTCAGGTGCGGTGGTATTAGACCACGTTGGTAGTACAGTCGGGGGCAATCACAATGGTATGGGGTTTTATTTTGAAACCATGCAATGTTTTATTTGTACATTATTACAGAAGTCAAGTTCAAACTGTCAACATGTTGTTCATTCGATCAACTTCAGGGTACAAAGTATCTATGCATAGTGGTACAGGGGATGATGAAAAGATGAACCCTCGCAAAAGCAACATCATACCATTACGATCGAAATATTATACAGTACCATACTGTATAATATCATACAGTATCTTACTCATTGCGCTTTTCGCACATACTGTATTTGCTAATCATAATCACAAGGTAATCCGAGTAATTTAGTACCGGTACTAAATATTTTGTTTGATAGTTTCAGCAACAGTTGGAAAGAAATTCTCCGCTTTTGATAGAGCAATGCTTGTTGGTTGTAAGAGTTGCGAACATATTGTCAGAGGAGAATTTAGATTTCATGACCACAAAAAGTGTTGATTCTTGATTCATTGAAAACGAACAGTGCTTAGGGTGACCCATTCTTCAACCCACCAAAGAACTTTCATAATGTAAAACCATACCTATTCTTGATCCAGTTTATTTTACTCTCCGAAGAAACAACCAATTTAACACGCAAAACACGACTATATTATCTACTTTGGTGATCCACTGGAACACATGTTTGACCACATAAAATACCTGACACGATTTTAGCCCGAATAAAAACACAAATTTGACCCGTACAGTAGCACCCGGGGCTATTCTGGGCCGTGAAAACACCGCGAAGAACTGAAAATGGCCTCGGAAATTGGTCCTAATTACACAGCTCTAGGAGCCGGTTGTCTAGGCTAGCAATTGACGGAAGCGAAGGCTATTAATGAAACCAGTTGTTTATAGTCGCAGGCGTCAGTTGTGCAACTGGTTCTGAAGAGGGATGTTGGAGTTTACAGTAATCGGGACAAAAACCCACCCCTTTCTGGCTAATCTTGTAATCTGTGCTGGTGGCAGAATAAGGCCAAGGTTTAGGATTCATGGGACTTTCTAAGGAATTGGAATTTTAACATAGAAAAGGGACAATTGAATGCTTTGTTGGATTTAGGGAATTCGGGGTATGGAGGGAGAAATGTGAGATGCGTGTGAGATTATTGGGAATCCTTGCAGGGGAATGCTTGTTAAGAGTGTTAGAATCTCAGATTGTTTATAAATTTACATTGTAGATTAATTTTACATCTACAACTTACAATATGGTAAGTTTTCTGGGATAATATAGTCTGTAAAATTACAAAAAGTCAAGATATAGTTTACCTGAAACAAACGATTAATTTGTATCCGTATGTAAGTGTAAATACGTGTTTACCGAATGGGAATGTGTACTTGTTTTTTAAAAGAGCAACGGGTTTTTATGGGGGAATCGAATGTACGCAATCAAATAATGGTGTTCTCCAGGGGATGCAAATACAGTTGGGTAATTGTGTAACTGTGTTAGGTCTACCGATATAATGTTTGTGACACGGTCGATTCCCCACCGGGCGGCGAACAGCGAGGGATTGGAACTAGCCAATTGTACATTATAAATGATGTAGTGACGTTGTTTTGGAGGGAAACTTTAGGGGTTGATGTTTTGACCACGTTTGTTAGTGTCAAATGGTTTATTTGTCTTTGAATACCCGAAATGTTGTAACGTAATTATTTTTTTGCAGTGATTAAGTAATAAAAGATTAATCCTGTATCGTCATATTTATCCTGTTGTTCCTAAGGCGATGTATTCAAGGTATAGCAACTACATGTAAATACATTGTTTTATTTAGATATATATGGTTTATTCTGCGTAAATTATTGCGATTGAGCCATCAGCAGTTTAAAGAGAATTTTATCCAATGGCTTAAGTAGGTGGAGACCTCTATTTCAGAGGCAGTTCAACGAGTCAAAATGTTAGCCTTTAAAAAAATTGTATTTGTAAGATCTCAGGAATTGGCTTGGAGTTTCTACTTAAGCTCTAGACAATAAGAAGTGATTCAAGAAATGCAATTAGTGCTTTGCCCCAGTCTTAAGCTTCTCGTTATACAGAAAATATTTGTTTACATTTGAACAGATGAATACTTTACAGTTGAACTTGCGGCATAGGGTGGTTTCATTCGATAAGATAATTAATTCATATCCGGAAAATTATCGTAAAATCCGAAATCGTTTGCCAATTAACTGCGCCCAATCAACAGTATAAAGAAGATCCGATGTCCTCACAGTATCAACCTAAAGCTATTCTAATGGTAAAATATAAAGCATGATGAAAAAGGTAAAGATATGCGCCGATGCCAGGAACAGAATGATCTGTCCACGTGTTTTCCACATAGATCGCTGTCGGAATGCGTCTCTCTCGCGTGTATGCGTGGCGTACACAGACGTTGCGTGTTGTACACAAATGATAG